GCAACTGCGTGCTTTCTGGTTCTCCCCCCCCCCCCAATATGCGGATGGCAAAATGTTATATAATCCAAAGGGTCACGCTAATCCCTGCCCGTTCAAATCCAAACAGGTCAGAATCTTGTAATCTTTATTCCACAGTCCCAACAATCAAACGACCCATGGAGGGATGAACCTGGGAAAAAAGAAGGTACAATCAGGCATGTTAAAATGTTAAAGGGGTCATATGATGCTACATGCACTTTTACACATTGTTTGAACTGAAATGTGTGTTGGCAGTGTGTGTACACAACCACCCTAAAATGATAAAAATCCACCCAGTGTTTTTTTTTTTTAATCTGCTCAAATATTTACCCCTGTCTCATATCGAGCCGATCTCAGATGCCTGTCTGTGTGACGTCACAAAAACAGGCCCCTCCCACGATAGTTTGATTGACAGTAGCGTTTCAGCACAGATTGGACTGGAGTCTTACCTTAGACCCGCCCTGAGTGAGCTGTCATCAGTCCGCTATTGTTTCACCGCTGGAGCAGATGTAGACAAGAATGACTCCGAAGCAATTGAGGTGTTTTGTTGTTGAATGTAATAATGAACATAGCAGTCGTCATTTACTCCCGACATCTGAGCCACTGAAGACGCAGTGGATTACATTTGTTTTTGAAGGGAATGCGCCCCCGATCTACATAAATGCGTCTATGTTCGTGCGAATCATTCGTGATCCAGCTTCATCTACAGAAGAAGTGAGTATAAGGTTTTTTAATGAATCTTTGCAAATCGCCTTTCCTAATAATGTGCTAATTAGCAAGTTTCACGATGAATGCAGCTAAAGTAAACAGTTTCTCTGAGAGCAGCTCGGAAGGGGGTCAGCATAGCTCATTAACATTTAAAGGAATAAACTACAAAAGAAAATGCTACAAAAACGGCTTGCTCTGAAAAGAGCTGTTTTTGACAGGGTAAAAAAGGTGTTTTTTACACTACCATTGAGAAATTTAACCAAACTATGTTATAGACTTTTCATTAAGACCCTAAAGAATCAGATCAACTTGTGGAAAATGGGCATCTTATGACCCCTTTAAAAAAGAAAGCTTTCAGATTTTTGGAGTAGATACATTTAAAATAAAACACCAAAAACTAAAATCAATCATTTTAAATGCCTCAGGAGTATGTAGAAATCACAACATTATAATATACAGTATAAAAAATGGATATTCATTATTCATTATATTCATAATAACAGTGTTATTAAATAATTTTTTTAACCAATAAAGATTGACCAACCTCACCTGTGCTTGGAGTGGCCCATAGGGCACCAGCTCTCCATCTACAGTGAGGGTTCCTCGTGGTGAAAGTGGCTGAAGGCGGAACGCCCGAGCAGAAACATGACTAACGTAGGGAGAGCTAAGGGACAAATGGGCTCCTCTCTCCATTGCTAGGAACAATCTAAGCAGTGTAGCTCGGGAGATACCAGCCCGCACAAATGTCAGATGGATCAGCCCATCATCAAATCGAGCCTGAGGCGCAGCGAGAAGATCTGCTCCCAGGTGGCTCTGGTAGATGGCAAGCACCAGGACAAAATCGCCCTCAATAGTGACCCAGTCGCGTGTAGGGAGAGGCTGGTCCAAAGGAGGTAGCAGATCATCCTCTGGCAGGTTGAAGGAGGATGTCATGAGAGGGCGGTTCTTCAGGGGTCCTGCGGGCTCTGCAAGGTCAAAGTTGAAGGAAGGGGTTGGTGAATGAAAAGAAGGCGATGGGGAAGATGAGCTGGGAGTGTTGGGACGTGGCGCGAGATAAGAAGAGTGGGGAGAGGCACAAGATGGAGACGAAGGAGGGGTCGGGGAAAGGGACAGAGAGAGGGACGGAAATTTTGGAGGGAGAGAGTTTGAATGTGATTGGTGGAGAAGAGAGAGGGGTCGTGGCCGTGAGGGGTTCTGGTTCTGGTCTAAAGTTTTAGCTTTGAAAGCTTTGAAAGGAGACTGACGGAATGGAGAAGATGAGATGGTAAGGGCTCGCTCTCGAGACTTGTCCAGTGGAAATGCCTCTCTCTGAAAGTAGGTGCCATTTATGTCTTCATCCTCCTTGCCATAGGCTGCCAGCTCCAAGTCTTGGTCAGGTTCTGCACCAATTGGCTGGCTGAAAAAGGCATTGATTATCTGGCTAGAAGGGGCCGAGTTTTTACGTAGTGTGCATTGCATCTCAGGTGGAGTGGTTTGATAACTCTCGTTGCATTCGTTTGCCTCATCCCTTTCACTCGAATCTCTTGCTTTCGTCACTTCTTCTCCATCCATCTCATCCCCACCTGGTTTATTCTCTTCTTCCCTGTTTCCATTATTACTGGCTATGTTGTCACACTCTTCCCTTTCAGTTGATTCCGAGCTGGTCCCTGACGTCTCCTCCATCTTCTCTTCTGCCTCCACCTCTTTCTCTCGGTCTTCTGCGAGACTGCTAGCTCTCACTACTCCAACACCTCTTGCTCTCTCTCTTCTCCTCTCCCTCTCCCGCTCTCTCTCCTGCCTCTCCCTCTCTCTTTCCCTCTCTCTTTCCCCATCTCCTTTACGGAGACTTCTTTGTTCACTCAGGCCCATATCGGAGCAGGTCCGGTGAATGGGAGTGCGACAAAATCCCTCCAAACCTTCGGTAATGCTGCGTGACAGTGGTCTGCGGGGCGGCTGAGGTGTGGCATCGGGGGGCGGGTTGACCACACCGGGTGGCAGGTAGGAAAGACGGCCCTTATAAGAGCGCAGAGAAGCCAATCTCACTAGTGTTCCAAGTGTAAACCGTGCTGAGCCCAGCCCTCTGTAGCGCTCACTCTCTATGTCCACATCAGACACAAAACCCCAGGCCACAGAAAGGAAAGAGAAAAGCCTCCTGGGAGCAGGTGGGTGCCCATTCTGATTGGTTGTGGATGAAGCGCATGGGCTGGTTGTAACAGACACCAAGTCCATCGGTTTAACCCCACCCCGGCACAGCAGAAAACAGCAGTTGAGGAGGAGAGGCTCCCGAAGGCACATGTCATATCTAAGAGACAGACAGGAAAATGGAAATAGGTTAAATTCAAATCACATTTATTAAAACACCAAAAAAACCTTAATTTAATTTACTCTCAATACTTGAAACAAAAAATATTCAAATACGGACGAGAATTATCACCTCTGTATATATTTTTTTTTATCTCCGCAGAGGGAACATTGTTTTTTCATACACAAAGAATTTTTAAAGAATCTTCACAGATTTATTGCACATACAGTAAGAGATAACGGGGAAAATAACAACATATAGGTTTGAAATCATTGAATCATAACAATTTAAATTTTTGGGTCAACTTCTCTGAAGAAGAACTGGAGATTTTCACCCCAGGGGCCTCATGTATAAAACTTTCCGTAGATTTCATCCTAAAAGTGTACATATGCACAAAAGCTATATTTGGCGTACACACAAAAGTTTTCAGATTTATAAAACCATGCGTATGCCAGAACCTGCGCAAAAAAACTTTTATAAATCCCTGTCAGCGGAAGATGGTGCGTGCGCCATATATGGAGCTTACAACGCCTAGTTTTACTATGCATAACCTCATCTGCATATAATTTCCATGCATATTCCCATCCACGTGACACCATGTTTATCACAGTCAAAGGTACAAGACATTAGGAAAATATGACATGCAGACTAAAAATGCAATTTCTACGGTACATTACATTGCTAAAAAATCATTCACTATCCTTGTCTTGTTTTCGAATAAATATATCAAAATGAATGTAAAAGCAAAATTGTATAAAATACTTCTCAGAGAATCTTTTTAGAATAGAGTGGATCTCTTTCTTTTCCACTGGCCAAAGCAGTATATAATTGTTTAAATGTTTTAGGATATTTAAATAGGCTATAGTTGAATCAGAAATACGGTGTGTGTAAATAAGTGTACATAATTGTCAGACGCGGCATCACTGACAAAATATTATAAAAAAGAAACGTGCAAATCTTATCGTTTGCTTCAGATTCTATCCTTCAATCACAATGCTATTTTCATAATGTTCTGAATGTTCGCGAAATAAACACCTCCGTGGAGCCTTGGTTGTGCAGTAGGCTAATATATTCGGACCTATTTAAACTTGCCAGTGGACTGTTCGACCACCGAATCCAGCAGTGTCTGCCACAATATCGAAGTAAGTGCGCATCGTTCATGTTCTTGCTAAAAAAAAAAAAAATTCTCTTAACATAAGATCTGCAGTTTAAAGAAACATTACTGTGTGCCTAGCACTCCTCGCTGTCATTAAAACAGCATGCAACAAGTGATCAAAAAACAGCGCATCCACTACAAATATCTAAATTCATAAGTTTTTGTTTAACTTTTGAATAATGACTTTATGTAATGTCAATGCTTAACTCCATTAATGAGCAGAATATTTAATCTAAATGTGTATATTGAAAGGAAAAGAGAGTCTGAAATCATTAGACTTCGCTATTACGCCAGTAAAAGAGTGCATACGCACGGTCTAGAGTACCCGCACATATTTACTTATTATTACACAAAAATAAGTTTATTTTTTATAAATCTCAATATATACGTGGAAAATTGCGTACGCTCATTTCCATGCCCATTTTGTGCGTACGCAACGTTTATACATCAGGCCCCTGGTGAGCTCAAGTACATTTCGTACCCTGCATAGTGGTTGATTGAACCAGCAAGTGCATTTCCAGAACCACAAGGCAGGATTCCCACAGGGGTTTTTATTGCTTGTTCCCAGTCTGGCCGTTCCATCAGGCCATTTATCACCTGCAGAAAGAGGACACACAGATTAATATGTAAATAATATGCAAATAATCTTATTTTTACATACAAACCATGTGGTAGGTCAGTCAGGTACTAAAGAAATCAAACTTGAGTCATCCAGAATGTTCATACCCCTCTGCCGCTACATTTATTAAATACTTTCGCTAATTTGGTCACATCTTCAGCTACCAATAAGAGAGTATTATTTTCAGCCATTTAACATGTTTTACCATGTTTAAATCAATTATACAGAATTCCACAGACGTTCCAGGAAATTTCTCAAACAATTTTCCTGTAAGAAGTAGTTTCTATATTAGCTTAGTTAATTAAATGTATGTGACAAAGCAATCAAAGACTGTTACAATATTTACCTCGTGCAAGAGTCCATCTCCAGAAACAATGACAATTCCGTCCCATTCTGGTAGCGAGATCTCTTTGATTAGCTCACGTGCATGATTCTGACGCTCTGTTCAACAACAAAACCACATGCGTCACATGCAAACAATCAGATTCTGAGCACTGTTGTTTTGAGAGTTCAAAAAAATATTTGAAGGGTTTGCAGCTGACGCCATATGTGTGTGATTGTGTGTGTTGTTCTAACCTGTCTGTATGAGGTTGTAGCTGACATTGGCTTCTCTTATCATTGGAAGTATGTGCGTTTGACACCACTGCATTGCCTGACCCCGGCCACTGAATGGATTGACCAGCAGCAACAGTCGACGGGGACGGGGCAACATGCTTTTGCAAAATTCTGCTCAATAAGCAAACAAAAACAAACAAGTGAGGATAAGGCCTTCATTTTAAGGCTAAAAATAATACTAAGCCACATCCTAACCCATCTGAAAACAGACCATAAATGTTTTTGGCAGATGTGAAAAATAAGTACACCTTAAGAACAAATATCTGACCTTCGTTTCAAAAATACTGATGAAAAGCGAATTTAAATGATCCAGTAACAAATTCCACATATTTTATTCAACAAAATAAATCAGTCACAAAGTTTCTTACATTAATGGTTCAACTGTATAATATTTAAGATTGAAATTTGGGATAGGTCTCATCTATCCAGAACACAGTGCATGTACAGTCCTGTTGTCAAACTAGATCAGAACTTCTTCCTTCACAACTTCCCATGTGGAGCAAAGTTGTGCTTTTTCAGATGGTGGACTCACGTATTTTGAAATTAACTTGAGGCAACACTTTACCATCAATTTCTTAATCATAACGTTTCCCATAAATGTTAGGCTACACTTGTTTTTCTTGTTTAAACAGCTGATTGTAAAAGTTTGTTTCATTGTTGTTTTAATTTTATCTAAAAATATCCAAGTTTTACCAATCAGCATAATTGAAAGGATGATCAAATGTTATTTTAACAATAAAAAATTAAATAAATAATAGGGTGTCTTTATATTTTCACAGCATTATAACCACTAAACTGACCCAAGATCTGCACTCCTAACACAAACTAACAATCCAACAAACTTATTAACATCATATAAATGTATTTTAACGATTTACTGAGCTGCAACTAGCACTGACAACTACCTACAGCACTGCAGTTAAAAACAGGGACAGAGCAATAACAAGCAGCATCTGTTAAAGTCAATAAAGCCCGGTGTACTGCTACCAAACGATCTGCACTACTCAAAACAGGCTACATTTTCCCTGCCGCAGACCCACCCATTCTCTGACCGTCAATGACAGCATGTGGTACACATTATGAGTGCAAAAAAAAAAAAGGCAGAAAAAAAAAAAAAAGGGCAGGAGGGAACAGTTAAACTCTTACAAAAATAAATGCATACAGACATGATTCATACTCACATAAATTTAGCTCATAGAAGAAATCAAAGTGGCATCTTATTTACAAGACACATACTAATGACAAAACATTAATGCAACAGCACTGACAAACATCTTGAAGAATTAGCAGCATCTGGATGCATTTAGTGAAGACATTGAGGGGGTACATTAAATGATTTCCCACTAACAAAAGCACAGACACTCCAGAGACAAAGCATTTACTATTGATCAAACCCTGACACCCACCTGTGGTGGAGCTGACATCCATTCCCCTCAGCAGGCTCTGTACAGCAGCGTTCCATTTCTCCACCTCAACTCTGCTCTCCGCCAAGTACGCCCTCACCTGTCTATGTCTGGAGACGCCTTTGCGGCGACGACCCGGAGGGTACCAGTAAAGCACCAGCAAAGGAGGGGCCGGCGAACGCGGGCAGCTGCATCCGGTCAGTTCCGCCAGCGGCAGGATCAGCCTGGACTGCTTCCCTGCACGTGGAGACAACCGCTGGACATGGATGTGGGTTGGCGTGAGGGTCAGGGCGTAGTTGGTGGAGGCTGGGCTGGAAGGTAAAGAAACACCTCCAGGGCTGTTGGGGCAGCTGTTGCTGTTACTTCCACTTCCCCCTCCGCTGCTCCAACCGCCGAACTGTCCGTGCAGCAGGGCCTCCTCAGTCATAGATGGACTCTCTGGGCCTGGGGAGTGCATTTTCAATGTCTGGGCTCAAAAGGTAGTGCCACTGGGATGCAGAAAGTATATTTGGACAAAACAGCTTGAATGCCTCATGAAGAGGTCCTTCTTCTGATTTGCAGAGATGACTTTCTGGACAGAAGCACTAGTTGTTCTGAGATAAAATGTGTCGGCTTTTTTAAGCCCAAATCATGGGCTTTTGCATAAACTTAAGGTTAAACAAGTTACAAATGATGACAGTGCTTCAACAGGTGTCTTTTCAAAACACACAAAAAAACATCAGCAGGCTTTTTTATCCCTGATAGTGTTAAATCTTTTCCATCAGTGCATTTTGCTTGGAAACAATGCTAAATCCTCTTATGATCATCTGATCAAAACACAATACACAAAAGAGATTTCCAGTTTAGTATTGCTAGTATCTCAACAAAAATCATAGTTTTGTTTTAAAAATTAAGATGCACAAAGAAGCCAGATTATTTGCTTTTCTCTCTTTGTCTGACTGCACTGGCAAAATATCACAATATGAGAAAAGGCTTACCCTTTGTCAAGGTTAAACGGAAATGTGTGTGCTTCTACATAAATAATCATTAAACAAAATTTCTTAAGTTACTAAATTGAACAATTTTCCACTCTCACAAATTGTTTAAATAAAATAGGAAGCACAATTTCAATTAACAATGCATTGTCTTAAGGTCAGAGAACATGGAACTTACAAATGACTAAAAATAAACACACACTAAGGTTATAATAATCCTATAAATGCTACGAAAATATTCAGTGACAAACAAAGCACAGAGAGCAGAGGTAACGGCCCGGCCGAGGATAGTGTTTGAGAATAAGCAAACAAAACCTTATTGTGGTGGTTGACTAAAAATACAGTTCCTCTCCAAAAACAACAAGGTTTAGGAAGTGATAGAGGTGACCAGGGATGTCACTTCTGGTTTAGGTCCAAAGCAGTGTCAGAGATTGTAGTAGTGCTGGGAACTCATGTATTATAGCTCACCCAATAAAAAAATGCCAGAAAATCCAGGATTTGATATCCATGAACGCTGAACTCTGTTCTTCAATCCTTGCAAGATAGTCCTCAAAAAGGAAAATAAATAAAACACAGAATACAGAAAGAGGAGGAGTGCTGGAACAGGGTCTCAAGTCATGGTAAACCTCTTTATCCGATGTGAAAGGAGCCCTGTTACACAGAGAACAGAAGGTTTGGAGAGAGACAGAAAGAGAAAGATTACCTTTTAAAGTTAAATGTGATATTCTGCATCCTACAAAGCAATATAGGTCAAGTAATATGAACCCTAAGAACATGAACAAGATATTATTCTGAATAGAAGCTGAGGACCTTCTGTTATAGAAGATGTACTACCTTTCAAAAGTTTGGGGCTTTTTTTTATATTTTTGAAAGAAGTCTCTGAATACAATTTAAAATAACTTTTGATATTAATATATTTTAAAATGTAATGTATTCCTGTAATGGCAAAAAAGCAGAGTTTTTAGCAACCATTACTCCAGTCTTCAGTATCACATGATCCTTTAGAAAAAATTCTAATATCTGATAACATTTCTTATTTTTATCACAGTTGAAAACAGTTGTGCTGCTTAATATTTTTGAGGAAACCGTGATCATTTTTTTCAGAATTCTTTGACGTTCAAAAGAACAGCATTTACTTGAAATAGAAATCTTTTGTAACAAAGTAAATGTATTTACTGTCACGTTTGGGAAATATAATGTATCCTTGCTGAATAAAAGTATTATTTTGGAATAATTTCTGTAATAATAGTCTAAAAAAAATGTACTGACCCCAAACTTTCAAACAGTAGTGTATCTTATACATCAGAATTCAATATAATCTTTGCTACTTTTCTAATGAAATGTGATGTTAAGTTGACCACTGACCTGCACTTAACCTTAACAGACTTAAGTAATCAGATAACATATAGTGCAATATCTTAAAAGGTCTAGCATCAGTAGGCCTGTCGCAATAATCAATATATCGACTTATCGCGCAATATATGTACATGACCTCAATAATTTTTGGTGATGCAATATATCGCCCATTATATTTACATAAAAATTAATGTCACCATATTTTGTACATTCCACTTGCGCCCGTGCCTTTTGCAGCTTCTCGTACATAACGTTGTGTAGTCATGAGGTGCTAGTTCAAAAAAAAAAATGCTTCTGCAAAAAAAGTTTCATCTGCAGATATGATCTTGTTTAGGGACCTGTGCCTTTGTGCATACGGACATGCACAATTATTTCTGGGGCAATATATCGCACAACAAAAAGTTGTTATCGTGACAGGCCTAAGCATCAGCAGAAAGGAACATGCTGAACAATACGGTTCTGTTTCTCAACAGAAAGAATGTGGCAACCGGTAGTCTGGGGAAATGTGAACAGATGGATTTAGTCTGCATACAAAGTTCATTATTCAAAATGTTCAAGTGCCTGTGGTTTGCCAGTGTTTGCAAATATGCAGGGCTATATCATTTTGATCCAAACAGAGAAGAAAACCAGTCTGGGGTGGAATTACACCTGTCCGGCATTAATCTTGGATGACACTTCATATGTAAATTCTGCAATTGAGCCTGAAACGCAACACCGGGACCGTGAATGAAACTAGAGTTGAGATGTAATCGCAATTTCAACTCAGTGGAGAACAGGAACGTTTGAAATGTGAACTGACGACAGATTCAACCGATTAAGATCTCATCGTATGAGTTTATGGCTGACAGGAAACGCCTGCAATCGAGAGGCCTAATATATCGGCAGTCTGTAAACATCTGGGACGAAATGGACGGCTGTTTAGTTTGTTTTAGCTGTAGCTCAACATCTGCAGACTTTGTTTTTGGAATTTAATCTGGCAGTCAGCAAGTAATGCTCAATGCAGAAATATGTGATTTTATCACATACTTTTATTTTCTACTTGTTAAGACTCCGGCGAAAATAAATGCCTGGCAGATTTCCATAACTGTTAAAGAAAGAAAAGCCCCTGTGATGTCCACTTTGTCCTTGAAAAGCTGGGCGGAGACACCGTCAAGAAATCAAAACCCACAGTAGACCAAAAAGTACATTCCTCTCTCAGGCTGCCTCAAGCTTTACCCTTCTAGAGCCAAAAGGAGCTCTGTTGACTGTCTGGGTTTTCACACACGAGTGCACACTTTGTCCCTTTTATCACCAAGAATTTTACTGCATCAATGATATGATAGTTTCAAGACTTATTCAGATAGACCAAAGCAATTTGACTATAATTAGTCAGTTGCGACCTCACAAATCATAAAATATAAACACTGATGGCCTTTGCACACAATTGTGTAGATCTTTCTTTAGGTGAGTGGTTATGAAATAAATAAAAGATACAATTTTGCCAAGCAATCCAATTAAGCAAAGGTAAAAATGCAAAGCTCTGTCACATTACAAATCAAATAACAAGTTCATACAATTACAAAGTGTCTCAGAATGTGACAGGTGGTCAGTCAGCTGTCAGAGTCACAAGTTTATTTAAGTGTTACAAGGGGGAAATGGCTTTTATCATCTGAGTGTACTTGTATTAATTAAGGGTTTTACATGCAAAAGGCAGCTCATATAGTGACATATAGTGGCAGTTTACTATGTGTGATCATAAGTGGACGAAAAAACAAATAGCTTCTATGCTATCCTGTACCAAAGGGTACTATAAAATTAACCGCAGGCAAGATGTGATTATAAACCATCACAGAAACTAATGTCAAGGCGATTAATAAGTACAACTGCAGACAGTTTCTTAGCAACTCAGAGTCAAACTCACATAAACACAGCTAACTGATGGCAGGCCAACACAAAACACTAGTATATAATAGGATATGAGTGGACTTGTTTGTACATAACGGTGGCAGTTAAAACCTTAAAGCTGGTAAAGACTAAATTCGATTTTACCGATGAGGAGAACAATGTATTCAGCAAACATGTTGTTAATGTCATTTTAAATAGCCAAGCTGACGGGAGCTCAGAGACCTCAACCTGAAAACGGATCTGTTTCTGTTTAAATTCTTCACCAAAAAGGGCGAACTATAAACTTGTATGTGTCTTACGGGGTGTAATGACTTTAATAATAATAATAACCGACAAAGCGAAAGTAATATCGGACTTACCTGGGGTTTTTTGTCCCCCCTACATGGCGAGTTCTCCAGCTTTCCTGAGCTGTAGGGGAGGCACGAGCGTTTTCAGGAAGTCTATTGACGCGGTGGGCGGAGGCCAGTGGATGATTGACGTGATAAACGTACAATCATGAAATACAATCCGTCTGGCCAGCCCATAGCCATAGAGAGAGCCTCTTTCTATGGCTCTGGGCCAGCCCATATCCTGGCGATAAAACACGCTTTTCACGATACTCCACAGTAGTCTTCTGAAGAGCTTATTTGCTACATTTCTATTTATATTATATTTGATTATCGGTGAGAGAGATATTTAACATTAATTTATTTTGAATATAGAGTTACTTACAGTTAATGTTTAGTTATATTCAGTCAAATTAAGCACAATCCTGAAGCTATCTCACAGATATAACAATTTAGACAAAGATTAAATAAGCCATAGAAAAAGACTGAAAACGTTAAGGGTAGAAGATTTTTGATCATGTTTTGTTAACAGAATTCTATATAATTTTTCTGTATAATGTTTTATTTATTTTATAATGAAGCTGTGAAAAGAGGCGTACAGTTTGTATATCCGCATCTGGAGATGTGGAATGAAATGTTTAATATAACTTTCATCATAATTGAAAATATAATTTATGTATGTAATCAAACGATAGATGAACAATCAAGACGTTAATACGTTTCTAAAGATTTTGAGTAAATTGGTAAAAATCACTGAAAAAAATTATTCATTGAATTTACTACATTTTTTTAAAGGAAAGTGGTTGCAATCAATTTATTTTAGCTACATTTAAATAAACAAATTTAGTTGACTAACTTTCAACTAAATTTGTTTATTTAAATGTAGCTAAAATGATTTTAAATGTAGCTAAAGTGACTCAAGGTTTCACAAAGAGAACATTATACATAAATATGTAGGTTAAGTATCTGACTAATGAAATTAAAACTAATGAATTAATGTTAAATAAATCTATTTTTACTCATATATCTGTTTAAAAAATGATCAATTGATTCCACTTTATGTTATTAAATAATGGAGGGGCAAAAAAAACATTTTCAATTTGTATAATTATAATTATTTCTAATTTTATCATATAGTCCAGGAAGACAAATAAGTGGTAAATTGATTGTGACTGTTATGATTATTAGGTATTATTATAATAGTTATAAAATATATATCCCCATAGGAACAGGCCCCATATCTAAATATTTTTTTTCTGTTATTGCAATTTTGTACCTAGAAATAAAATGTGAAATAAAAAATCTAATCAACTCTCAATCAATTCCTTAAAAAACTGATTTTTCCAATTATGATTTTTTTCAATACAAACTAGTGCAGTTGTTACAAATAAAGAAAAATTGTGTTAGGCCCTAAGAGAAGTAAATTTTTGTATAGAGAATGGTCTTTTTCCGTAAATATAACCTTTCACCCAATATTTCATCCAGTGGGATCAGTTGTCCAGCGGTGATGGTCACAACTTGAGAAATGATTGACAGACATTTTTAATGAATCACAAGAACGAAAAAAGACGAGAGGCGGGAACTTCAGCAGCGAGCGGTGGGCGGAGTCTGCCGGCCATCTTTAATGTACTACTGGACAGAAGGGGGATTGACGAGCTGAAAACATTACCAAATTTGAAATAAGGAATTGGCGGATATTTTGGTCGTGGCTGTCACATAGAGATACTGACGAATATTACACACTTTTGAAAAAGGTATACGACGACTGTGCATTCAATTTGAGAGTTTAAATCCCCCACACCTTCTGCTGGAAAAACTGTGTGTATGCTAGCAGAGCGTTAGCCGTCAGCGCTGCTCGACATCACAACAACAGCAGCTTAATCCATGATAACTGCAGAAATATACAGTATTCCGTCTATATATACTGCCAGGGTGACATATTATCAGTGCAGATGAGATCTGGCGATGCAATGCTGCTGATCTTACACGTTAGCATCTTGGTGGCTAGTGCTCAGTGATCAGAGGCTGCGTAAATCTGCGTAAACACACTGGTTGTGTTGGCGTTACTGTGTAAATGATCTAAACTGTGGGGACAATCAAGGCGCGCTGTCATTAAAAGTCTTCATAATTTCTATTATCTAGGGGGATTGCATACGCGACAGTTGCGTTTATTTGTTTACCTGGAAAGAACTCGAGTAAAATATAACTTTGAAGTTATTAACCGTTTTCTTTGCCCAGATAAATAGTGTAACGTGAATCGAGGAGGGTGTTTAATATCAGCCTTTTCTATTGAGATGAGATCTATCTGTCGGGAGCAGTAGAAACACTTACCATCTGCCTCACACTGAATACTGTACAAGTTAACAGTCTCTCTGATGTGCTTGCAGTGACAGAAGGTATGAAGACGGTATCATAGCCATGGCTGATAAGAGGAAACTACAAGGTAAAATATTATGATATAGAAAATATTTTCTTCTCTACTCTTCACTGCCACACTTGCTTGTACACAGTAGTTTCTGTTCAGATGTTTTCTGAATCATCATATGAGCTTATGACTTATGCATAATCATATGCTTTACACAACCAGGTGAAATAGATCGATGTTTGAAAAAAGTTGCTGAAGGTGTTGAACAGTTTGAAGACATTTGGAAAAAGGTGGGACGTTAACACCTCAACAACCAATGCATAATGCAAATAGGAACTAAAGAAAACGTGCACTTGTTGTTAGATGTTGTATTTTAATAATCCATTTAATTCTCAGCTTCACAATGCAGCCAATGCCAACCAGAAGGAAAAATATGAGGCTGATCTCAAGAAAGAGATTAAAAAGCTCCAGGTAAGGATATGCTGATTTGACATTTAGCTGGAATTGTGTGAACATGGATAAGTGGAATAATACAAGCACAGAACTAGGAACTTGGACTAGGTATAAGCACTCTTGGAACACTTCTTGGGCAATCAGTTTAGAGAAGCGAAACTAGCTGTTGCATAGAATTAATTATTGTACACTTTATTTAGAACCAAGGGAAAAAGATGTGTTCTCAATCAGTATAATTGTTCTCACCTGTTTTTCTTCTTAGCGGCTACGAGACCAGATTAAGACATGGGTGGCATCCAATGAGATCAAAGACAAACGGCAGCTAGTGGAGAACAGGAAGCTTATTGAAACGGTACCATTCCTTAAGGCTATTTTATTTTAACACACTTGTCAGTTTGCAAAATTCTTTTGTACTTTTGATACAAATATCAGTGCATTGGCATAACATTTAAATTTTGCCTCATGAATTCTTAGATACGTTTCCCACGCTTGATCTGTCAAGCTTGTACCCCTTAACTTGAATCTCTGTCTCTTTCTCCTCAGCAAATGGAGCGATTTAAGGTGGTTGAAAGAGAAACCAAGACAAAGGCCTACTCTAAAGAGGGGCTGGGCTTGGCTCAGAAAGTAGACCCAGCGCAGAAAGAGAAGGAGGAAATGGAACAGTGGCTCACGGTACAAGAGGGCTCATGGATAACAGTGGGGGGTAGAAAAACTTTGAACAGGATGCAAATAGTGCAGTAATGACATGATTTCTCTCTCGCAGAACACAATAGACACTTTGAACATGCAGGTGGACCAGTTTGAAAGTGAAGTTGAGTCCCTCTCTGTTCAAACACGGAAAAAGAAAGGAGACAAGGAGGTCAGCGTTTCACTTTTTCCATTTCCCCATCCTTTCGTTACACTACTTTCCTGTTTTATTATAAATTAAGTCTTTTTTTTAGTCTGCCTTTTTATGCTTTCACTGTTATGTGAACACTCGCTGTTAGAGACCTCAACTTGTTCTCATACCATTCTGATCTGTTTATTGTGTTTTCTTCAGAAGCAGGATCGGATTGAAGAACTAAAGAGGTTAATCGAAAGACACCGGTACCACATTCGTATGCTAGAGACCATCTTGAGGATGTTGGATAACGATTCGATCCAGGTTGAAGCAATCCATAAGATCAAAGATGATGTGGAATATTACATTGACTCTTCGCAAGACCCAGATTTTGAAGAGAATGAGTTCCTCTACGATGATCTGGACTTGGAGGAATTACGTAAGTCTGTGTGTGTGGGATGAATGTAGGGTTGCAAAAAGGTGGAAAATTTCCAGTAAATTTTGGAAACATTCCAGAAATTTTGGAAACTTTCCAGGATTTTTTTTGAATATTCCAGGGATTTTTGGAAAGTTTCCAGAAATTTTCCACCCCTTTGCAACCCTAGATGAATGTTGTTGTTTATGTAAATTGTCAAGATAGGTCACATTTATAAATATCTCTTTCCCTCTAGCGGCAACTTTGATGGCGACGTCTCCTCAGGGCCATATTGAAGATGAGATGTTCCTTCAGTCCAGCAGCACACCGACCTCCACTACTTCCTCTTCTCCCATCCCTCCATCTCCTGCCACAGGCACAATGGTAATCCGCTTTCTTTCATTCTACCTCTGGGATCAGTCTATTCTGCAGAGCATCTCCATCATTTATAATCACTCAGAACCTCAAATCATGCTCTTCTCTGGTCTTTTATTGACTTCTAGTCGCAGTATTGATTGTCTTACTATGTTATGTGTGACTATGTGTTGCTCAGGAGATTTCGGAGGATAAGAGAGGTCGATCGACAGACAGTGAAGTCAGTCAGGTGAGACCTCACTATCAGTTAAAGGTTTATACACTCACATTGTTGTTTTAAACATGTATGACTTTATTACAGTGCAGAAGCACTATAAAAGTACTTGTATGGCTTCAGGAGACTTAATATGCAATGTAGCACACAAGTTGTATGGATCACTTTTATGGTGCTTTTGTTTCCTTTTTGACGCTTGAAATGCCTATTATAATTATGTGGAGCAGAATAACCAGCACAATCTTCTGAGTTTAGACTTTTTGTGTTGTAAAAAAGTTTGAACCACAGCATGAGGAAATTATGACAGAAATTGTTCACCCAAAATGACATGTATTCTTAATTAAAAGTGATATTTGTGTTTCTAACCTCATGGCTTTCTTGCTCCGATCAGTCTCCCGTGAAGAACGGCAACCCATCTCTCTCGTCCTTCTCCTCATCCGCCTC